GTCAGTACTTGGTTGCCCATAAATGTCCAACTCCAGCGGGTTTCTCAACGCGCTTAACCCAATACAAAGACCTAATAACCATCTACAACGGATCCATAACTTCCAACAGGCATCTTCGTTACTAGAGGAGGATGAGGAATACCATTCCAATAACGAGGACTCCCAGGGGATTCCTCTTCATACCTCCACGAATCTTGCGTCCTCGAAATCTAGAGCCCCTTCCATTCTGAGGGCTGACGCCAGCCCTAGCGCAGAGATGGACGGCGCCTCTGAAGCAAGTGATGAGGAGATACCCCACTCTTTCATGGTGGAAACATCTCCTTCTACTAGAAAAAAATCCTCGAGCTCACAAAAACGCGCTCATCGTAGTGCTATCGGTCAGAGGTCAAGCAACCAAAGTAAACGCACCTTCGGTGGCTCGTCAATATTGCCCACAACCCATCCTATCCGTACTGTCAACAGGTTTCCACATCCAGATGATATAGAAGAAGAAGACGAAGATGATCAGAACGCTGCTCTGCTTAGGGCATCCAATGTCTCCAGTCACCCTTCGAAAAGACGGAAGGGAAAGGAAACTGCCAGGGGACAGAATGACTCTAAGAAGGGCCTTGATGAATATCAACAAGCGCTGTGGAGATGGGTTAATGTTTATAATCTTGATGAGTATCTACAGGAGGTATGAACAAGGCCGTTATCCACGTATTCAGGAAGTTGACTAGCATTCAGATATACTACTATTATTCCAACTCCGGATTCACTTCCATTGCTCTCTCCAGAGTTTTGAATCTCCTGACAATAGGATTCGTTATCGCCTTCACTACCTTCTTGACTGGATGTATTGACTACAACAAGCTGAGATTGATTGGTCGTGGATCAAAAGGAGGGAAATTAGATGATGTTGTCATCCCGCATTGTATTGCGAGGTGAGTAAAGTATTGAAGACTGACGATTGCTCACGAATATTGGTGTAGATTACCACCTGCGCTAGCCCTTATCTTGATCTTATTTTCCACTTTCTACGCGTATCAACTCCTGACATTCTTCTTGTCTCTACCCCGTCTATATCAAATGCGATCCTTTTATTCGCATTTACTGAAGATCCCAGATGTGGATATTCCTACTTTACCCTGGTCGACCGTCGTTTCCAGGGTAGGTTCTATTCGTGACGAGAATCCTATCACCGCAATAGGGAATGTAACAGATGCAAGTAGCGAAAATCATGGGACGAGCACGGCTAAACTTGATGCTCACGATATCGCAAACCGGATTATGAGGCAAGAGAACTACCTGATCGCCCTGTTCAACAAAGACCTACTGGAACTACAGCTCCCTGTTCCTGCTGTAGTTGAAAAGGCACTTACCATCGTTGGATTCTGCAGTGCTGATGATGCAGATGCTGGTCGGAGACGGTGGGGTGGTGATACATTGACACGCGCACTGGAATGGAACTTGAGGTTCTGTTTGATGGATTATCTATTTGACCGGAGCGGAAAGGTTAAGGACGTCTTCCTCAAAGAACGTAGCAGAGATGTCCTGATTCAAGGGTATGCTTATGTCGTTTGCCCCTCTATTATTAATAACCATCATTTCCTTCAAGGCTCAAAACTCGGTTTATCTTCATGGGCTGCATTAATGCGCTCTTCGTGCCGTTTATCATACCCTATCTTCTCATTTATTCCTTTTTTAGATACTTTGAGGTGGGTATTCGTCATAAGTAACATTCACTCTAATGAGTAAACATTTCCTCTAGGAAACACAAAAGAATCCATCCACGATATCCTCCCGGAGATATACTCCTTTCGCTGAATGGAAATTCAGAGAATTCAACGAACTTCCCCATTTGTTCACAAGGCGCCTAGACACCTCTTACCCCACTGCAAATATGTACCTCAATCAATATCCTCATCGTACTGTCTCACATGTTGCCCGCTTCGTGTCTTTCATCGCTGGGTCCTTTGCTGGAGTACTCATTCTAGCATCGTTATTGGACCCTGATCTAGTCCTCAATTTTGAGATTACGGCCGGAAGAACAGTTCTATTTTGGATTGGAGTATTCGGTGGTATTCTAGCTGTCACTAGGGGAATGATCG